AAAAACTAGCTGAAATCGAGGATAGGCGGTGGGCAGGGAAAGTGTATAAGTATCTATATATGAAAACATCTAAACACTAAGTGGACAAACTGAACCCGCAAGCTGAGATTTAAACACGTTCAACGAAATGGGGCCGATCAGAGCATATCAATTAGATAAGGAGTAAATGAAACTGAGAAGAAATTGTGGTAAGAGAGAATGCAGGGGAAATGAACTTTTACAATATACAGGGCACAAAAGCAAGAAATAAAAAAGGAACAGATGTATTATAATTCATTGTGGAGCTCATTGCTGTTTGAAGTTAGAACGATGCACTGTGAGCGTTCAACCTTCGTTATCCCTCCAGCAAACAAAAAGCCGAAGGCAGGTGTGTAAGCAGGAACACCTCCGCCGTAGAGCAACCTAACTGAACACTGCCACTTCTGCTGTAAATATTTTGTTGCTATTTATCTGATTTTATGCCTTATGATTAGCGTCTTTTTTATGATCGCAACTTGCTGAAATTCAGTTCGGTCTCGTCTTTAATTATCTTAGCTTTTAATTTAACACGAGCTGACTAGTGCCACTAAATAAGCTATGCTTCAAAGTAACGACAGATAGCCATATTCTGTCTTATAATCATGGTTGCCAGTTATCTGAAGGTATATCGGAAATCACAGGAAACGCTTTTCCGCCCTCAACAAATGTTTAAACACTTCTCGACAGGGCAAAGCAATATTACATGAGCTTCCTAACACCGAATCTAATGCTGAGGAAGTCGCACTTTTGAATCATGACTATCGGCAGTTGCGTCTGCTCTGCATAGGCACCAGAATGGCTGTGCCCACAACAATGTCGGGGAACAGAGTGCCGATACTCTAAGCGCAGCTCATATAGTGGCTCTAGAACTAACGAACCTCGTGACATCACTGTGCTGGCCGCTGGCGCGTCTAGTGACGAATTTGTCACTCGACCACTCACTGACGAGATCCCGCGAGGCCCGTGAGGAAAGCAGGTCAGGACCAGATAAGGCCACCTAAGGCCGTCTAAATAGGGCGCCTCGCCTTGCGCGCCTTCGATTGAAATGCGGATACCCTAGGAAACAATAACGCGTTGAAGCAGCGCCGCGAAGTTATAGCGTGACGAAATGCTGCGGCCGCTGCCATGTACTACAAGGTGTGCGCTGGCACATTCTTCTGTGCATTTCAGGATTACGGTAGGTAATTTTGGGGCGAAACTCCACCAGTTAACTGAGGTAGAGAAGCTCCGTTCGCGTCGGTGATCATTAGCGGCTGAATTACAGTTGGCGCCGCCGTGAAACTCCGGCCGATCGCAATTGAGTAAAGTGTGCTTGGTTTAATAACAATTGACATCGCTCGTGTAACTAGAGTAGCCATATGAACAAACGCTGAAAGTGGCCCGTAGAAAATAAAAGAAGACGACGTCTTCTGCATTCGTAGTTGCGTGAGCAGTTTCGCGCAGTTGGTTCCTTCTAGTCTGCCGAGTCCGCAAACCTGCCATGGACCTTGCCAAAACAGGGAAAAGCGTCAACTGAACGAGTTTAAAATCTAGATAACCATGGTACGGCAGGTCCGGGACCTGTTTTATGACGTTTGCCTACGTGATGCACAACATTCAACAGGTCCGCGGATTCGTCCCCGGATACGTTCCTGTGATCCGCTCACCAGCTCTCGAGATTTGCATGCTTTTTTTTGCCTAGAACATGGTGGATTTTAAACCACAAAACAGGTGACGTCGCCGATTTCGTATGAACCTGTCCGGGGACATGTCCGCAGTGTGAATACACCATTGAACAGATATTCCTTTATGAGCGCGCGTGCACAAGACATCCTTAAAAGGGTCATGAAACGCTGTTGGGTTAAAATGTTCAGGATTTTGCAGAGGTGTACTGGTCCTTGTCTTGCCCAAGTATACTCACACAGACCGCCGCCACTGTTTGAGAAGCTCCTTTGTCGTGGTAAAATTGCGAGGATAAGAGGAGGAGAAAAGGAGGCTAAAAGGAGGCGTAATCAAGCTTTGCAAAGCTTGGTGACGTAATTGTGGGATCGAAACTGCCCGCCTGACGACAACTGAGAGCTACTTATGGATTGGACATGAGAACTGCACGAGCACTTGACTTCGGCTCGTAACAATCAATGCCTTGGCGGACACTAGCGTAGTGGCTTGTGTCCAACCACTACAGTGAGGAGAATAGCCGTACCCAAGCAATTCCTGGAGCTCAGCACGCGTTTTCCACTTTGCCTACCCCAGAGCGTGTCTATGCTTAACGTTGACGGCATAGGATAGGCCGCTTGTTCTGGCTCCGAGTTGAAGGGATGAAGGATTATCATAATTCTGAAATTTGTTTGGTGACTGCCATTTCCCAGAAAGAAAAATACTAACGCAAGTTTATTCAGTTATTAAAGTGAAGGAGTGATTCTTAGTAGTATCTAACGAAAGTAGTAAAATCGGTTCATAGCTCCCTTAAAGCGAGGCAATCAATTTCGTATACTTTTGCTTCGCATTCACTAAAATAGTGCAGACGACGAGCAAGCTGGTCTGCTCCATGCACAGAGGGTACAGCAAGTCATAGCTACGAGCTGTAATTGGAAGGATATAGTGGGTAGGCACAAAAGCTCTTTGCCTGAGGTTTAAACCCCACTATAACCTATAAATCGGAACGAGTCGTCTCCTCCTTGCGAAGAGCAGTGACATCAGAGTCAAGCGTTTGGGAGTCGAACTCTGGCTTCACCTTTAGTTCTAACAATGGCTGCCTTACCTTTTGCATGGCATCCGAAAATCCACCAGCTCTTTACGAACAAAGACTTAGTTTTTGGGAAAGCGTAGAAGATGTACCTAGAAGGGTTTTTATTTTTTTATTATTTTTTTTGTGAAGCTCCAACTTATGAGGAACCGACAGCTGAGACGTCTGCTCCCGAGTAAAGACCGAAGAGCAAGCAGCTGCGAGGGCGCTGATTCGTTGGACACTTGATCAGTCACCAAGAAGGCACGAGCTGACTCCATATGAGGTCGAAGTAAATGAACTCTCGTGTATATCTTCTCCACCTAGGAGACTTTTTGTCATTCATTCATATATAACTATTAAACGTCAGACAATCCCCCGCACGTGCTTGCTCGACTGTCGGCTAAAGCCATTGGATCCAGTGAAAGTAGCTCGATCCGTCCCTGCCTGTTTGCAATACAAAGATAAATGCTAACATTCAAAGAACCAAAACAGTGCAAGGTGATTGCTGAACATTACCTATTGAGGTGGCGCTTATCGGTGCTTATCACCCTGGCGAAAGATGCCGAGTCGCTGTACTCAGGGCGTATGCGCAGCACCTGGCATTCTGCACAACGCGTTCCACAACCCAGGGGACTAGAGCCACTAAATAAGCTAGGCCTAAAGCATCGGAACTCCATTCCTCGAATTTCTTCTGGGGAGTCACTATTCTGGTGCCTAGACACGCTGTTATGAAGCTCAGACGACATCGTATTGTTCTGACGTGTACTATTTGAGCATTTCTGGAAAAGGGAAAAGCGTTTATTTTTTGTTCAATTTAGAATAAATTTTTAGATAACTGCGACCACGACATTAAGCACCAAGAGGACCAGCGTTTAAGAGCCTTAAGAGCACCAAGCAAGTCGCAGGGGAGGAGACTGGCTAGATCCATGCAGAATCCAGTCTTCATCACCGTTGATACAAATAGGAAAAGCCGTAAAATCAAAACCCAAATCCAAATGATCCAAGTGTCGTTACCCTGAAGCGTAACTCATTTCAACATTAAACAAAGTTAAACAAAGATGGCAGCGCGCAGGGGGCAATTATTAAAACGTTCTTGAGCGACAGAAAAAACACAAAAACAAAACAGATTTTTTTGATAGAGGTGTACCAAGAAATTAAAAGATTTCGGACGCATTCAGATTCGCCTTCTTGAACGGCAGTAAATATCTGGCTATCATTTGTAATGAGGCCTCGTTATGATTCTGTTCTCTTACCACCAGAATAAGGCACGAAGGAGACTCAGGTAGTTTTAATCTCTATAAAAAAAACACAGAATATTGATGCGAACTGTTTGGTGGGACATGCATACAGTCAGCTTCTGTCGATACGTACTACTTGTGTTTGGTGGTGGTATACATGCACGCATTTAATTCGAAACATTGCGAGTATTCATAATAGTACACATGTATTATCCCCACTGGTGTTCCTGCGTAAAAGCCTGTGCGTCGAGCATTGTTCTTGTGCACATTTCCGAAAGTGCGGCAAAAATTAGTTGTGCAGTTTCTCATTTTGTTCGAGCATGCAATAGATATTTCAACATGAGCGCGCCAAGTAGAAGCTGCGGCGCCTATTATCTGAGTCCGGCATTGCTTGGGCACGTGCTCGGAGCGCGTATTGGACACGAAAGCTGCGTCAGCCTTCGGCGAGGACTCAGATCTAATCACATGCTTCGTGCCCGAGAAATGGCGGCCGCCAGTGTTGCTTGATGGGGTTTTGAGAGGCGTCTATTGCTGCACAGTGTACTCAGGCCCGCTTAGCCGGCACACTGGGATAATGAACAAAGCAGAATGACAACAACGGCTGGATGCAAACACAAACATCATGCTTTCCTTTATTTAGGATAAACTGATACCCCGATGCAATCAACTCTCGGCATTCTTTCTTGGCGTGACTTCGTGCATTATGTCTTTGACATCTTAGTCGTATAAATACAAATGAAGATTCTATTTCTCAATAAACTACACATCATGATTAAAGTGAATGAACGCTTGGATTTCCAGTGAGGTAGAAAAATGCTCCAGTACGTTTAGAGGCTAAAACTTTTCAACGTGAGCAGAACGAGGATTAAAAGCAGCTTATTCGCAGCTTTTGCTGCCTGCGCGTATTATGTATACGTGTGTGTGTGCGTGTGTGCGTGCGTGTGCGTGCGTGCGTGCTTGTGCGTGTGCGTGTGCACGTGCACGTGCACGTGCACGTGCGCGCGCGCGCGTACGTGTGTGTGTGTGTACACTGAAGACTAGCGAGGTAAGAAACGCAACCTCTGTAAAGACGGGTGAGCCACCGTTAAGGCCGGGGAACTCAGGTTCGGCAGCTGTTGACCTTCAGCGGGCAAAACGCGGAACTTCTGCAGAAACGTGGTCAGGTACAAGAAGATTTCGACGGTGGTCAGAGCTTCCGCTGGGCACATCCTTTTGCCTGCGAAACAATTGAACGGAAATCTCAGATTAGGAGAGAAAATTAGGTTTTGCCTCATAGCGATCTTACTTTTAAATTCCCGCATTGATTTATGAGGTTAAAGGGTATGATCAATTTCAGAAATGCTAGAGCAATGAGGCCAGAGTACCAGAAGTTGCAAATAACTTTTCTGAATGGTTATATTGTGTTTCTTTTTTGTAACAGCACTCATAGAAAATTTATGACAAGGAACTATTTATGATATTAATATTGTTATCGTATTTGGACTCAGTTATTGGCATAGAATACAACTTCCTGTATTAGTTTTCTAAAACACAGTTTTTCTTATTTTTTCTTTGTTTAGTACGAGGCAACGAAATGCTTTTGGTGGGCAAATATTCGCAAGATAAATTGCACAATATTTAAAACAAAGAATAGAGGAGTGACGTATGTGCTCTTGATAAGTTTTAATACTGAGCTTAGTGTCTATTAAACGGCAGAGCTGGCCAAGTGAAGCACGTAATACTATCACGAGAGTTTGAAAACTATGCTGAGCAGGTCTGTTTGGATTGTCCTTAGCTATGCTACAAACAGAGGACTCAGATATATTCAACCTACCAACGGAAAACGCTATTAGATGTTCCGGTTTCTTCACGAGTCCGGTGCCGTCTTTTTTCAAGAACCTGGTCGGATCAAATTCATCGGGGCGTTCCCAAAGCTCGGGATCCCTGTGGACCGCCAAGAGATTGGCCAGGACCACAGTGTCCTTGGGTATGAAGTAGTCGTCGAAGAAGGTGTCTTCCCGCGTTCTGTACAAAAGACGAAATGATGTCCTATTAACAACATGTCACATCTCGCAATGCCTCACGTTGTTTCGCAAAATATTTTTTGGTTTTGTCTTAATCGGTGCCACTTTGATTCATGGCAACATTTATTCTTATTGTAGTTTTCATCGCGGGTTATGTTGTTAACCTGAGCTGGTAAACTGTAAAAGAGGGGGGGGGGGGTAGGAGGCTTTATAAGAAACCATTCCTTTTTCTCTTCCCGCTAAACAAAAAGAAATGGGGGGGGGGGGCGGGGGCAGAGAGAAACTGTATATACATTAGAATACGAGGTGAGCGGGGGGTGCTGTGAAGCCTGTGCGTGCTATTGAGCATGCCAATAGTAGGCAAAACGTATACAGTTGGGGAAGAGACGGATTCAAATTGGAGAAAGAAACACGGGGGAGGCATTAAAAAATTAAAGTAACATACAACCCAACAAAAATAAAACCGTACGGCACAAACATACAATATATCAATGTTAATTCTGGAGACACGCAAGGGGTCTGCACACCAACACAAACAATAAGGCAAACCCGCAAAGTGGACATGAAAGCTCACTTGTAGGAAACCTCTTCCCAAAATGGTGTTATAGTCACTCGCAGTTGAAACATGAAATGAATTTTCGGCCGGGATAAACAATTTTAGATCGGGATTTTACTCGTCGCATATCGTTTAGTGGTTCAAAAGGAAGAGGGTGGAAAGTCAAAAGCCTGCTTTACGGTACCAAATTAGTAGATATAGCGGACTATTTGTACTTTTTTTTTCCTTCGAAAGCTGTCCGCCTTTTTACTGTGATACATCCGCAGTTAAGCACGTCAGCCGGCCCCCAGCAGTGGACACGAGCACTCCGTCCCTCGGACGTATACGCGCTCGTCATCAATATCAATCTGTCCACCAATATTTGGATTCGCGTTCGTGGCCAAAATGCGTGCCGTGACGACGTTTATCATCATCTGCGAGCAACAAATTTTGTGGCGTAATTAAAAAAGAAAAAGAAAAAAAGAAAAACAAAACTCTGTAGAAGCTTGGAGTCGTCGCATCAGGTGGCCTACTACGTCATGACCACATGATTTCTCATGTAGCTTTTGAGCTGAGGAGGAAAGCAGGGTGTGGCTTGTCCCATGCATCTCAATATCCCAAGGCAGGCAATGGGATGTCGGTATTAGCCAATCAAAACGCCGAATCGCGAAACACGATGCATGAGCCTCCCTTTTCTGAAGCTGCCCTCAACTGTGATATTTCACTGAGCTTCCGCAGCCTGCTTATCCCAGCGCAGATTAAAATACAAAAAAATAAAAAAATCACTTCTCGATAAAGCACAAAAAGAAAAGAAAATTTTTGTGAAGATTTATTGTACAAAACTCCGTTCGGAGGGGGGGGGGGGGGGGGGGGGGGGAGAGGACTGGGTAAACACATCCACGGCCGCACGTGGCTGCCGAAGACACCAGCTGCGGGCCTATATTTGTGTGTGTCGCGAGGGTCGCCGAAAGCGAAAACAAGCAAACACAGCGAAGCACGGCAAGCACTTCGCCGTCCTATTTTTAACCTTCAGTGTAGTAAGGGATGTTGCGATTTAATTCTGAAAGAAAACTAAAATTTGAACTGAAATTGGCTAGTTTTAATGTATTCCCACCCATTAATGCGGGGCATGTAGAGTTTTAGATTGAGCCTCGGCCAGTCTAGACGGCGGCATTCCTTACGGTCTTTGCTCTCGCTTAGAAGCGATATAATTTTTTGTCTTGTCGCGTGCGGCCGCGACCACGCCACCCCTCCCAGTACTGTCTAAATCACCTTGAACAACTGTTCCGCCCACCGTTTTGGAAATGGCGTCCCAACCTACTCGTATGAAATGTATGCAGTGCACTGATTGAAATAGGTTTGGCCTAGAATATAGAAACGCTTGTTTATGCATTTTTGTTTTACGAGACAAAGAGGGAGAGGTGTTCGGTGTAAGTTCCTCCAGTAGGTGGTCTTAAGGCCTGTAGAACAGTCTGAACTATTCTCAATTTCGATCACAGAGCGGAGAGGCCAACGCGGTGAGATTGTGGCGCCACCTTAGAAGGAGTTAAAGGGCTCTAGAAGGCGCGAGATCACTGCGTCCCTAGCGAGCTACGGTGGGAGGGACAAAATATCCTCCATGTCAAGGCCGTAATGAATACAGCTGACCAGCAGGGCTCTGGTTCAGCATTTGGAACTACGAACTAACGAGCAAATCAATATAAAACAGCGTCGGGGCCCTTGGGGACACTCTGTTTACCTTTGCTTTTGAACGGTGAGCTTCCCAGCCTTTAGAACCAGGAACTACAACAATGATTAAAGGTGGAAAATAAAAACGCTATGGGGTATTAATTTTCTTTTTAAATTAGAGATGCATGATTATCGTTTTGAGAGCTTTCTAACCTTGAATAAACCGTGTTCGTCGGATCTTGCCAGTTATTTTTCTTAAGTTCGACAACGACGTACCATTAACTTTTTAGATTCTCTAAATAATAGCCTCGATGTTTAAAGCTTTAAAATTTTTAGGAAAAAAAAAACCGACACACGACAAAATATTTCTGCATATTCATTTGTTAAATCTTTAAAGCTCTTTTGGTGACCGTGTAAAATTTCCATTCATTTCGTTCGTGATCTCATTTAACTTTTATATAGAAGACATACACGAAAATTAATGAGATCATGTCGAAACTACAGCTGGTTGCATATATTTATATTGCAAAACCTTTTGTGATCTCGTTGCTAAACGCAGTCGGTTGGATCTGTTTTCTAAACTATAAATAAGGCTCGCGATGACCGTGACAGGAGGGATAATAAGGTTGCTACCCTGTGCCATCTGCTTGACCTTATTTTTGCGATTTATATGCGACTGTTCGCTCCTCCTCATTTGCGAGCGTTTAGATTATATCGTTCTACACGTGCCTGAGATAATTTAGTTCACTGTGTGTGCAAAATATATGCAGGTGCAGAGAGTGTGTCAGTTGACTGAGCCTTTGAAACTAAATATTGTATATGCGTATTTTCTGTACTTCTTTCCAAACTAGTCACTGCAGGTGAGTCGAGTGGGTTTCGCAACAGCACTGGAACAGTTCACTAGTCATGAATCAATGCAGACAAAGTGGTATCGAGACAAAAAGTAAAAGAAAAGGCTGGTGTCTATTTATAAGCCTTCTGTGCAAACGGAAAGGGGCGGAGAAGTGGCAACAAGTTGTCACTAAAACTTCCCGTACCAAAATCACACAACTTGGGTCCCCAAAGTGCGCTCGCAATGAGACAAAACTCGATTAGCAGGTGTCGTATTAACGGAAATTGACTGTGCCTCGATGAGAGCTGAAAACGACTCCTAAAGCTTTCGGACCCTTTCTTAGACAGAAGCGATATGCCGCTTTTCTCCCTCACTCAGACACTGCAAAGGGCGTCGGCACATTGTGGTACCGTTTTAGCTCCTAAAGTGCTAAACAGATGAAGAGTACGATTCATGCAGCTTTTTTATGCTTATGTTTAAAATACTTTGTTTAACGCATATCTTTAGCATCGGCTGAGATCTGAAATATATATATATATATATATATATATAGAGAGAGAGAGAGAGAGAGAGAGACCAGCAATCTTGATGGAGCGGAACGCACGTTGCAAAAGAACTGTGAAAGCTCGCCATCAGCAAGTGCTCAGCAGCCATCCACACAGATACGAATCCTATCGTCGATGTCAGGTTAGAAACCCGGTATAATGCTCCGCTTCCAGCGCGTGCTTTTTACATTCGATAATACCTCGTCGTACGCGCAGCTAGAGCTTGTCGGAAGGCAAGAAGCGCGTGGTGGAGGTGATCTTAACCTGTCCCCGACGAGGTCGTCTCCCCGACTAGCTCTGCTGCATGTCCGGGTGAAGATATCGTGCAAAGAGCGCAGGTGATCGGAAGTACCGTACCCCCGGGGCAACCCAAGCGGGACGACCGTTCTCCATCGAAGCATCTCCCAAATGCAGGCCATGGTGAAGTGCATTTGCGAGCGGTCTTCCCAGGCGGGTTCCCTCTCTCGGCCAATGACGCCGTCGATCTCCCGCTGGATGACTGCCTGCACCGTGTCCGGGTTCTTGGCGCAGTTGAACAGGTGCCACTGAATGCTGGCCGCGACGGTGCCCGTCCCAGCCACGAAGAAGTCGATGGCGTTGCCCAGGATGTAGGCTTCTGCAACGGTGTAGGTGTCGGTGTCGATGCTATAGTAGTTGACAGGATTGCAACAGCAGGGAGATCCTTCAGTGGTCCCACCCCAGCGAGAGTTTTCTGCTCTCGACAACACTTCGGCGTCTCATGTAGCTCGAGCGTACGAGTGCAGCCAAAGCACGGCGGAAGAGCACGGCAGGACGTGCTGGACGCCGGGCGTCGTTCGATAGACACGCCCTGCCGTGCTCCCTCTGTCAGTGACTCTACGTAAACACTTCGGCCCCTCGAGAGCCTCGAGGGCCTCGAGCGTGCACGCGCTTCGGCGCCTCGAGAGCCACACGTGCACACGACGATAGGTAACGAGTGTGCGCTGGAGGCCATGTATCCAAAATGGACGCCCTGCTGTTTTCATTCTGTCGGTGACTACAGAGAAATTACAATTCTATAAAGTAAAAATAAAATACAGGAAGATTAATTTGTGGAGTCTTAGGAAATGCGCTAGCATGACCATTGGAAACGCCATACACGTCCTCCTATGGGAAACACTAACACTGACGGCTTCACTTTTCTCTTGTGGCCTTCTCTTTTGCTGCCTCTTTTTGGCCTCGATATGGGGTCCGTGCTAGCGTTTCCGAAACGGGGAGCGCTAACACTAACACACTTAATGTGTGGCGTTACCCAATGGTCATGCTAACGGATTCCCAATAAATCCACCAATGGATCTTCCTGTAATTTTTCCCCCTTTTTTGTACCCTGCTTGTCAGAGTACGTTGACGCTCTTGGATTCGGTCATCCATATAACTCGTGGAAAAAACCACATCCATACCCTTCGTGGAAAAAAACCGCATCGATATCACTGGTGGATGGAACGTCATTCATCGTTTTTTTACCACACACACACATCACAGCCCACGTACCGCTACTACGGAGGCCCAGAGCGAATACAACCGGGAACGGCAGAGCGGCAATTGAAGACGCCCGCATTCCACCGCACCGCGATGCAACACGCCGATAACGAAGCCGTGGTGCTGAGTAAGATGGCGTCATCAGAGAAGGCCAACGCCAGGCGCAGATTGGACACCATGATTGCATCAGCGTTCCCCTCAAACTTGACTCAAAGCCGAGCGCTGACTCAGCACTCGTTTTCAGATTGTGTCTAGCATTGGCCTTCTCTGAGGACGCCATCTCGTTCAGAATTACGGTTTGGTTAACCAGGATGTGTTGCGTGGTCCCTCCTCCTCTCTCGCTCCACGCCAGCTGTGCGCGTGACTTTGGCGAAAACGAAAGGGCTCGTTTTGACGAACACCCGGCGGTGTCTGTCAGTTCGTCAGCACCGGGGAGAGAGGGAGAGGTTGATGCGTGCTGTCGTCAGCACTTCAGACCAATGGGTGCGTCGCACGCCTCACCCTCTCCTCTCATTCTCCCTCTCTTCCCGGCGCTGACAAACGCAAGACACCACCGGGTTTTCTTCAAAACAAACGTTCTAATACTACATAAAAGGAAAAAAAAAACTGTCAATAGTAGTTTAAAAGTATAAACTGTTAACTGCTTTCAGACGCCGCACCAGGTGGTTCTTCTCTTCGCTGAGGCAATAAGTTGTGCATTTTAAATTTAGGCAATATAAATGAGTTCATCGATTAGGGTGTTTTAGATATACCCCCTCCCCCCCCCCCCCTTTCCTGTAAAAATCAAGGCCAGGCTTTAATGTAGTCGAAGCTAGTAAAAAAAAGTAACTTCCAGGAAACCTGAGATTGGCAACGGGCTTTTCGCCAAGAAAAGTAAGAGGCTGCGCAGATTTTTCTTAAAGACTTTGGGAAGCTAAATTGCCTAGCTATGCGTATGTCTACTGCCATTATGAGGCGTCCAAGGAGTTCGTATTTAGTACACAAGCTGTATCAGTTCATCCATTTGGCTTTTTTAGTACGTAAAACAGCTCCAAGCCCGGATGCTCAATTACTGAAAACAAGCTAATTAACGATCACCGCGAAAAAAAAAAAAAAAACTTTAAGTTTAGGGACAAAACAAAAATAAGACAACACAACACCGGCTCAGAGAGACTTTTTTTTTCTTGAGGCCGTGCTGTGTTGTCCCGTTTTGTGTCCCTAATTTCCACATTTTCTTTTTTTATGATGTTTAGTTACATCGCATATAAAGCGCAAAGAGTGCGGCTGAAAAAAAAAATTGGCGCGTATCTAGAAAGCGAACACGTTTTTGAAATGAGTAAAACTTGATGCCTGTTAATGAAGCGTGTGGTGTCATGATGGGTTTCACGACTCTCTGGCTCACTATACTCTGTTCACCCTTAAGCTGAGATTGCAGCCAATGCGAAAAGCGCGACAGCACGAGGTTACTGCTTTGAAACGTTCTTCCGCAGAACGAGCGCTCGCGCTAAAAATGCACGTCTCAAAGCCTGGAGCGTGGGTCAGTTCGTGCTTGCAGCTCTGGCTGCGATCTCGGCTTAAAGGGGAACAGAATATAAACTCGTCTATAATAGCCAGCTATATCGACGCATGGGAGAAGCGTGTTTTCGGCGTACCTCGGAAGTGGGAGTTTGGGTTGTCTTGGTGTTCTGTGACCTTGTTGAGGTAGCCGTCGATGAAGTCGCGATGAAAGTTGGGATCAATCGTCTCTTGGTGTTCTTTGACACGTTCCCTATTAATAAAATAAAATAAACATGAGCGTTAAACGTCGCATTTCGGTCTGTTCCTCCCGAGGAGCATGTAGACAAAATACCATACGAAAGGGGGCAGCAGGAAACATTAGTTGCCATACGAGTGTGCGCTTAGAAGGCCATTTCTAATGACGAATGACTAAAATCTTCTGACGGGCTCGTGGGAGAGGGAGTAAAGGCGCGAATACCACTAGAGCAAAAACAATAACGCTCAACCTTTTTTTTTTTCTTTTTGCCGTGTGGGTTACACTAAGCTGATCGACTTCAAATATGTTATCAAAATTATATTTGCTTACTGTGGCACTTATTTAGTATGAAGGCGCGGTATGGTGGGTTTCTGAAACATTGAATAAAACACCTGGCTCAATCGAAATTTACTTTTAAAACCCAAATGTTTCTTAGGAATGCAGCTATACATTTCTTAAGTTAAATTTTTAAAAAAGAAGCATAAGAAAACCTTGGAGCAATTGGTAAGACTAAACCATGGTTAGGAGCACACACGAATTGTTTTCTTATTCCTCTTTCTTTTATCTAATCCAACATCCCAATGACACAACAGTGCTTTCTTTTTTTTTTACTATGACTGCAACAGGGTTTAAATTTTAACAAAAGAAATCCGCAACCTGGCAGAACTTTTAAGTTTCATGCGTTTAGGGTAAGACATTAACTTTTATGTTTCATATAAAGTGGGTTAGTTGGCCATACAGCGCTAGAATACGTCTTGCGCAATATAGCTTCAATTCAACTAGTTATTTTTTATAACCCCTTTTTTATTTAGGCGTACTGTTAGCCTGTTAAGATTTTACAGGAGTATACAAAGCATAAGAATACATTTGATAAAATAAGCAAAACACGGACACTATGGCACTACAGTTGGTAAAACAGATGTTAAAACACACCTGAATACACGAAAAATGTCCCTACACACACACACGAAACAAGAAGCAGGACAGGTGTTTTATGCTTTAAAAATCATGTCTTTTCGTTTTTGTTATTTTTATTTCTGCTGAACTGGTAGAATCTTGAAGAAAGGTTGGAAAACGTGTGTATGCAAGATACCAAATTCTATAACTTGACTTTTTCAGGTTTACATTAGACACCTATAAAAAAAATTTTATTTGAAAATAGTAACAAAAGAAAAGACGGTCGCTGAGTGCACTGCAGCCCAGTGATTAATTTCGTCATGTAAATTGATATTTCAGTCCACACAGTCAGAAGAACGTGACCTAAGAGCTCAGGAAAGTCACATTTATACCTTCTTTCTCCAGATAAAAAAAAAAGAAGAAAACTATACGAACAAAAGCAGAAGGCCCAAATTGAAAAAAAGTTACTTCAGAAGCATGTTTCTAATCAAGCATGCAATTAAGACATGCCTTAATGGCAAGGGGAAAAAAGCGAGAAAATAAAAGCTGCCCTTTTTGTTTCTAGTTGAACAAAAACTAAGCAATTCCCACCTTTCATTATTTATGTTTTCTTATGTGTCTCTTTTCTTAAAAAGCAAGGGCCTGCGATATTGATTATCTAATTCAAAGTACAGGAACGCACTTGGTATATTCCCCTTTTAGCATCACTCGTCTCATTTCTGCCTCCTGAAATAATTTCTGAAACAGCGAGTGAAACAGAATTCTTTTATTTTATTTATTCGGCAGGTGTTAACATACTTTTGTGAACGGACCACCCTGAATTTTACCATTATATCAAGCAGAGCTGTTCAAGTTGAGTTATTCAGGCTCCCAGTTGCCTCAGTGTTTCGGTGGCTATGGCAAGAGAGACAAAGTTATGTTCGAATGCAGCTTCTTATACTATACCCATAATCACGTTGTAAATATGACATGCAATCTTAAATAAGGTAAAAGTTCTAAAAGTACCACTTTATTTTTTTTATAGTTCGGGAAATCGAATAATTATGGTTCCTTGGAGAACTTGTGTCCTTATTTTGACTGCATGAGTCTAATTGATTTATTTCATGTTTTGCTGTTACACTCCGTCGTCCCCCACATAATTAATTTTATGCTTGTCACTTTATTGAACGGAACCTTATTGGTGTGGAAACCTGAAGCTGTCATTTCTAAAACAAAATAAGAACTATGGGAAAGGGGAAAAAAAGACAGGACGAACAAACATTCGTTCCACTCCAATACACTTTAGTGCTACATGTTCAATTACCGTGAGTTCAGATTGAAAGGGAGTATATCATCAAAGGGGCCATGACATAATGTTTCTACTTCTTCCTCCTTAGCTTTCCTCCTCAGCTCAAGAGCGAATTGAGATAGCACGCGGTCGTAACGCGTTTGGGCACCGGTACGATGACTTCAAGCTTCCACTGTGCTTTTTAAGCACACCGTGGAACTTGGCATTCGCAAGTGATGATAAGCCCAGTCAGGACATTCAATGGCCATGAACACGAATCGAAATATTCGTTTACGTATTGGTCGTTGTCGAGCGCATACGTTCGAGTGACACAGTGTTCGTGTCCAATGCGTGACCTGGGCTCGGCTGACGTGCTTGGTGCACCGCGGATGCATCACAGTGAAAAGGCGGAGATCTTTTGAAGGAAAGCAGGTACCCAATAGTCCGCTATATTTTCAAATGTTCATCACGAAAAGCTGACTTTTGACTTTCTACCCTCTTTCTTTTGGTCCACTAAACGATATGCGGTTAGTAAAGTCCCAATGTAAAATAAGTTATCATCGCCCGAAAATCATTTCATGTCCTCGTTAAGTATCAAAGCATGGCGAGGTCAGTTAACTCCAAGCACCTAGGTCGTCGGATCTCGTAGTTTCGTAGTACATCTCTCAATTGGTAAATAAGTGAAATTCTAATAGCGGCAACCATCAACCAAAAAGAGTAAACAATGTATGCTATTTAAATATACATACACCTTAAATTCTACGCGGCGTTTTCGGATCCTACGTGTATAACTACGATGATTACAAAAAAATCTTCGACAAAACTTTGCAAAAAACAAAAACCTGAATCTGTTTATGTTTTTGTTTGTTACTGCAAGAATCTCTGCCAGATTTACCTGATAAACGCATGCAGATCTAGCGATGCCTTTCTCAGGGCGTAGCTTCTCGTGTACGGAATCCTGGCGGCGACCTTCCGAAGCCAGTAAGGTTGGAAATCGACCGCGGAGCCGGACATTATTATCTTGAAGAGTCGCGCGAGGAGCTTGTCCAGGTACTTGCGCTTGGGGTCGTCGAAACTGTAGGTGGTCCCAAAGAGAAGGGCTGTGATGACGTTGGACGTGCTCGGTATGAGGTGTTCTCGGATTGGTACGGGTGATCCTTTAGCGTCCACAAGCCTGGCGATCAAGTATCGTAGTTCCTCCTGCAAGAACGTTTAGTGGAGGGTGTTAGATACTTTGGCAGAAACGATAAGCTCTATGAACCTAGTATCGTCGAAATCTAAAAGATATATAAAAACAATGTGATTCAAACCATGGAATTGTGGCTCTACAAAACAAAGAAGTGAATCGATCGAAATGACAGACTTTCTGCTGTTTCGGCGTCCGCGCAGCAGGATATTGTGTATATATTTTTTTATTTTTATTCAAAAAAAGGCTCACCCAAATTGTGTATTTATTTTTGTCTTCATTTTACTCTATGCGCCCCAGGACGAGATAAGCGAAGCGTTACCCAGGTGGTCGGCACATTTCAGCATTTTCCCCTTTTGTTTTAAAACAACCCACATATGGGCGAAAAATAATTATACAGTCTAGCCATTCTTGCCCCTCCAACGCCTGTTTGATTCGTCGGTATGGTGGATTTTGTTACTGATAAAAAGTCGGTCCTCGAAGATTCCCAGCTAATGTAGATATTGTTGGGAGTTCACCAACAGCACTGAGATGTGTTGGGCTGTAGAGAAACATCTCAATCGCCAAGCGTAGGGTGCGTGGAGTAGCACCGAAAGTGATATTTCTGACTCTCAACGAAATTCGGATCTATTGTCCTGCATAACCTAAACCAGCTGTGCGATACTATTATGAAAAGGGCCCTGTCATACACATAAAATTTCAACTGTCTAGTGAACCGTATTTTTTTTAACTGTCGTCCACAACCCCTGTGTAAGTCACAGAGGCAAATTTTGAATGAAAAAAAAAGTTTTCTTTAGATACTATGCACCCGGTGCGTAGACCACTTCTTGTCCATAACCAGCCCCTGTAGCGTTTTCAGAGCGTAAAAGTTTCTCACACAGCACGTCTCGAAAAATGCCAGCTTTGTTAGCGCAGAAAAATGCTTGTATTATACAGAAATAAGTATTAACGTAGTCTTCCCTTCACAAAATTTGTCCTGTCTCGTGATAAAAAAAGTATCTAAAATAGATTATAAGAAACATGTATAGTTTGCTTTAGTAGATAGTTCGCATAGCGTAATATTTTCACTTGTATATAGGTATGGTGCACAGAATACCGTACGAAAAAAAAACGTATTTCTGAGCAGCAAAAGTACTCAGTGCTGACATGGTAACCCTGGAGCCGGGGAAAAGAAGGGAAGTAGGACAAACATGGTCTACCCCAAGTTACCGTTGAATAAGTGAAACAAAGGCTAAATAATCGGGGCTCGACCTTCAGTTAACGCACCAAACTTGACAATTTTACTGGTTAAAGAAGAAAAGCGAACACCGGATGGCAATCTCTGTTTCCAAAGTGAAACGTTTATTTTTTGTTTTTGTTTTTGTTTTCCTGGGGAACATGATGGAGGGCGCGCAGAAACTCCGATCGTAGGGTTGCAAGGCTGTTTAAAACAATGATACATCGTTTACGGGGGAATGTTGCTATGACGGATGGCTGTCGCTCTTGCACAAGCGTAATGGGATTTCCCGAATATACAGAGGAACTCGTAATGGTCGACAATTTTTCTTCCTTCGAAACCATCAAAAATAGGGTCGCCAAGCCACAGATGACTAATTTTGACGAACAACCGGATTTATGCCACGCCAAAGGTTTGACGTAGTGCGAACCCACGCCAGTGCCATACATTTACCTAAATCTAGAAGATGGAAAGACATACAGTAAGTTAATGCGCCAATGTTGGTCCATGCACACCCGATAATTGGGCGCCTCAAATAAGGTTTTGGGCGTTTTAATATTTCTCGACATAAAAAAGGGTCTTATTTTACTAGTATATTTCTTTTTCTAAACTTAATGTAATTGTGTTGAGTGTGCGTGTGTTTAAACAGCCTGAACTTAGTCTGCCTCAAAGGGCGACCTGCCTCTCAGCCGTAGACAAGCAATTTAGCCAGTGCAATACAACCGCTACCCTGGGGTCTTTAACGTGCACCACGCAGAGTGATACACGACCGCACGCCGGCACGATGCTCATCCAGATCGAAACGGACAGTGGTGGTGTTGGAACCCAGAATCTCTGGGCCCGGCAGCCCGCGTATAAATCTATAGATATATATAAATATACGTATCGTGAGGTTGCTTCCGCACACAGATATATAAAGCTCGCATATTGTGAGGGCTGTATATATTTTAATTTGTGAACTGTAGTCCGCACCCGGTGCATAATCTGCACCTGGTGCTTATTCGACACGAAACTCCTCTCATAGATGGCACACCTTGAGAAATATCTGCTATCTTAGTTCACAAAACAGCCTATAATACTATACATAAATCATCATTAACATACTCTTTCAATCACAAAATCCGTCTCGTCTCGTTTCGTCATAATCAACGATATTGTAAAACAAAAACCATGCATCGTCCGCGGACGATAGCCCGGAAAATATGATATATATATATATATATATATATATATATATATATATATATATATATATATATATATATATATATATATATATATATATATATATATATATATATATACCGATGTATTTTCGCAAATTCATTATTTTTAATGCGCGTTTAAATTTTACGCTTTAAATTTGTGTACGAGACAAATGTGTTTGTATGCTGTCAATTTATTTTCCTATTTCTCACAAACCGGGGCACTCTTCTAAAATGCCTCATGTCTCAGTCGCTCGTACATATGGCGATTCGCACGCTTGCGTGGCTGGTAAAGTAGGATAATATAATTTGAACAACTCAACAAAAACTTAATGAAGATTACAACAAAAAAAAATTATCCGCAATGAAACTGACAAAGAGCTTCCCATGAAACTGATTCTTTGACGTATACAAAAGCTACGACGGATGTAAACGTGTACATTTTGATCACACCACTAAATCGGAAACTGTACTGCCATTACATCGCTGGAAAGGACTATACTCTTTTTCACCTCAACTTGTGCATCGGAGGCTCCACCTCTACAAGCCGCGCATTGGCCAGTCACCGTCGCACCACCACGAAGCGTTCCCCTGCCATTTTGAAACAAATATAAACAAAAAATGTCTACAAAGAAAAAGTTCTCTACGAGCTTTGCGATAATCGTGATAATCTAGTCATCTTCAACAGGGTTCATAATGTAGCACGTTTTGAGCCATAGTTTTCCATATGTCCAAATTTATTGGTGCGATTCCTTTTAAAATACGAATCGCACGCAGTCGCTGCGGAGGTGACTGAGGCCGCAGTGACTGCGTTCGTTTGTTCACGGAACAGCGAGTCGTTCACAAACGGAATTGCTTTGTTAATAAATGCAGCACTCCCGACTTGCCTAACATCTTCTCTCAAATAAAACAACTGTACCGTCAAACTGTCCACTTAAACGGCGCAAGACTTGCAGCTTGAGTGTCTATTTCTCTATTTCTTTTGCGCCACGTCATAGTAGTGTTGAATTTACGAACGCGTCCAGTTAACTTGGTGACGTCGCGTTGTTGTTTGTATTCGGGGAATCGAATGCTCGACGTGCTCGACTCGATTGCGTTCTTCTGCATGTTCGGCTTTCTTTTACTGCTTTATCGTTCTGTTTTATTATTCTGTTGAGATGCCGGCCTGTGCAGTTCTAAATCTATAGCACAGACGTCCGCTCCTCCGTGAGCGACCGCTACGAATACGCACGCCCACTGATCTCCATTTTAGTAGGCTGGATCGGGGGTCGGGAGCCCGTCGGTGTCGCCACCGGCGGCCATTGCTTGACACCAGGCAATACACGCGAGTCTATGGGAGAAACGCACAAAAGTAAGCATATTGAAGCATGTACGCTGTGCTCGGAGTCGAGTATTTTATTGTGCGCTGCGATCCTTATGTCGGGTGTTTGGAGATCGAATCGGTATTTGTCAAACGTCCGGTCGCCGAATAAAAAAATCAAACGTACCGGAGCACCTACGGCTGAGCAGGCAAGCTTGCTCTCGTAGTGGAGTAAACAAAGGAACTTGCCTTCAATAAGACCGTCCTCGGGGAAGCCCAGAAGTTGATGAATGACAAAGAAGTTCCATCTCGACAGCGGCTTTCCGGGAGTGAGCAAATTCCGCGTTACAAAGCCTTGGAGCTTGTCGTCTGCTTAACCCAACTCAACGAAACCGCCACCGACTCTCCGCGGTAACTCTAGGTAACTCGCATCATTGAGCTGCACTACTGCGGAGTCACTCTCAACCACAAAATATTTATTTATTAGAATTGAGAGGGCTGTCAGATTTAATGTTTGTAAGTAATCTATTTGACGGGCTTATCAAAAAGCATCCAAAAAGTTTCAGTGCCGAGAACAGTTTAGAAACAGGGGAAAACGGCACTTTTTCTCGTTCTTCCCATAGAGTCCCATGCATTGGCTGGTGTCAATCAATGGCCGCCGGTGGCGACACTCGGCCCCAGCTGCCGAGGTCGCGATCAGCGATCCAGCCTACTACAATAGAGATCAGTGCGCACGCCACAAACCTGCTTGCAACCCGCTGGCTGAATCAACTGCCAACATGCACTCTGACTCCTCGCAGTGGGAGTGCCGGGTGAGGACACCCGGCACTCTGGTTGGTTGGCGCACCGATACAATTCTCTTCGAGGAGAATTCGCCGGTCCACAAGTTGAGGTGAAAAAAGAGTTTAGTACGAGAACGCCCATGTTGTGCACAAAATAAGAAGTGTAGCGAAGGGTCGCACACCACTCGCGCGAAGAGGACCGGGGGGGGGGGGGGGGGGGGGGGGGGGGGAAGGGTATTTTATCGTGATTTTGAACAGCCTAGACTGTACCTGATTCATTCCTAACTACAGGCGCAGTAGTGAGACTTGAACATTTACCATGAACGTGTTGAATCACCAGAGAAATGTAGTGCGATTGACATTTTTCTGAAAATTCGGGTTGAATACATTCGCCCGGGACACGAAATCGGCGATCTTTGTTTTATCTATCATGTTCTTGAATTTCTAACGCCAAATAAAGAGCATAGTGAAATCTGAGTACAGTGAGGCACCGACGTTGGCTTCGAAATGCGCTTTTGAAACCGATGCACGCATGAGTTGAATACGCGAAAAGCGTTGGTGTTTCAATGAGGTTAAAAAAAGTTAAGCTTTATTAATACAGACATCTTAACTCTGGGGAATGTGGCAGGAGGGACAACCGCAAACACAAATATCTAAGAATACCAGTACTATCCCATCAATGGGGTTAATTACAAAATAAAAAATATATCTTTTTTTTTTCTGAAACGTTCTATTGCAATCACAAATTTCGACGAACAGATTGCTAGATTGATTGTACTAACTTAAGGTAGTCAGCGATTGCTTAATTAAGCGCTAACAGCTATCTTTTTCCTAGTGAAGTACTTAGGTTTCTTTGTGGTGAAGAACGCCATTATTCCAGTTGGCAATATCTTTTTTTTTAAATCACTGAAACACATGGTTGGTTCTCAGCGCTTGTTTGATTTCACCTATTTTGTTATCAGCACACTGTCCGCCGTCTCCACATAGCAGTGCTGAGAAAATCGCGCAGTCTGCAGTCATGGACAAAATAAACTAGAACACGGTAACACTCTTTGTCGTTTACGTTGACGAATTTCGGAAGTAGAAACAAATAACCAACGGACCTCACCAAGATAGGTAAGTAGCTGTTTGGCGACCAGGCCTGCGTGTTCTCTCCTCGTTGGTTTGTGGCGTCTCAGAGAAATAGAGCTTAGGAACAAACCGTATCTGACGTGTTTGTGAACTGTTGAGTGCTAGCCTATAATTGGTGAAAGCGATGAGTGCAAGCGAGCATCAGTGAATAAAATAGGCCCAGGTGAGTTTCCAGATGTATAACATGTTCCCAAATTTGGATATACAAAACCAACCTCTACTAACGCCACGTCGTAAAAACAAAAAAGAGGTTAGGGCTTATCGTGTATGTTCTAATTTACCTCGTTCACATCTGTGTCTCCTCGGCTGAGATCCCGTCGGTTGTATATGTTTACACTCTAAAGAACATTCTGAATCAACAATCAGAACAACTTCGAGAGACTTCTCCATTGGTAAATTAACGACTAGATTGGAATCAACAACTAAAACTAATATTGGCAATATCATATTTTTACCTTCTGTGTATCCGAGAGCTGACCCATCATTTTTGTCTATGCGGAACGCAAGTTCGTGTGTTTGTTGCGCAGAAGTATCGGCGACGACAGAACGACGCCGAGCCTCGATTGGCTTTGATTGAAAGGGTAGCGGGGAGACCTCAACGCCAGATGTTTTGAGGTCTACCTACTATTTTATTTTATTTTAATCAGCCAATGATAGCTCAAAGTTTTGACACCATCGCAATTCCTGTGCAAGAGGGAAAAGAACTTGCGCTCCTCATTGGCCAATGGAACACGCTGTAATCTATGCATAGAAGCTGTCGTCTGAAAAATGATCAGGCACCCCTGATGTGACCACAGCCCGGCATTTTTCAACTCTGTGGTCCGAAAAGATGTGTGTTCTCCAGAGTTTGTCTCAGTGGGTGTAAACTTGAGACATTTATGTGCAATCAGCGTCCTGATTCTTACATAGTATCTTGATATTCTACCAGAAACAGTGAAACCCCTCGTTCTTCAAAAACGCATGATCTTCCGCTTGAAGGCCTGAACTGTCATGACGGTTTCAACGTCAAGTGAAAACCCTTCAGCTCGACGGTAAGATACTGTTTCTTAGTTGACTGGCACGGCTTTTTTTAAAACCGCCAGCTAAGCGATTTTTAATATTTCGACTGAAATACTCGTACCAGTTCTCCCCTCTGAAAACGTAAGGGGAGTAACATGTGTAGCAGCGCTTCTTTCATTGCTTCTATTCTCCGCGGACGCATTTTACGCAGGCCGGAAACGAGATGAGGTAATTGACAGCGCTCGTAGATTGCTTTACCGTTCAGATAGAAAACAAAGTCGACATGCGTACACTTTGGGCTTCGTTCGGTGTCACACACGTGGACGAACAGGTGGAGGTTTATTTTTATATGATTTTATTTTCCAGCGCAGACGTCAGGTGGCTTGAGCCAGACTCTCTGCGTGCCGCCTATTCGGTTGAGAACCGTGGTAAGCGTGCTAAAGAGGTCAATGCGTGGCACTAGGTTTTGTCGTGAAACACGGGGGAGCATGAGTAGGCGTTTCTTATTCTTACACAATCCCCGAGGCTCGCGGCATCAACAGAGCACTGTGAACACAGGCGTTTTAGAATGTGCCTTTTAATGCGTGCAATGCATTTAAACAGAACCCCCTGCCCTCAGAATTTTCATTTAACGTAATAAACAAAAATAGTATGACCGAACTTACGAGGTCAACAGGACACGTTGGTTGTGCTAGTATCATTTGGTTCTCTTTTTGTTTTGTTTTTGCGAAATTTTTTTAAAGATTAACCCCAACCAACTAGCCCAATTTGCCTTCTGTAACGCTGCTACACGTCAGCCAGTACATCGTCGTGTGACTTCACGTGACGTCACAGTAACACGTGACACCAGGACTTGACGCCGTAACGTCGGGTCACGTGATGTCAATTTCGCCGGTAAAGTTGGTGAAAATACTAATTGACGAGGGGTTATTCACCCCCCGCAACGACTGCTTAATAATCTTTAACAAATTTAAACGATCGCTCGTTAACTACCGCGTTCCACAAATTAAAAAAAAATATATATTAAATTTTTTTTTTTTTGCGATACGGAAGAAGTTTTGTGTTCTTTCCTAGATGATGAAAACAAGTGTGTACTGCGAAGTACAAAAAGGAGCGCTGCTATGAGTCAAAGCTACGGAATAAATTGGTCATGAAACACAAAAAGAGGTGTAACTGCTGGGCTATACGGCTCGCTTAAGGTTCTTAATATGAAAAGCTACATCACTTAGTGTGTGCGAACTGTCTTCTTTTTTTTTTTATTCATTTCAGGAACATATTGCGGATATATGTTTTATTACCTGTCGTGTAGCACATCGACGTCCACGTAGTGGATGCGCCGAGAGTGTGGTTTCAGAGCATGGCAGAGGAATTATCTCGTGTCTGAAGGATTGTTTGGTTCGGCACGCGAGGTACAGCCGCGCGCCATACCAAAACCACAAATATTTCTTAACTTGCAAAGATTAATGCACTTTTTTTACCTTACACCATACAAAAAAAAAGAAGCGAAAGCGAAAAACTACGTTATTGGTTTTTAAGAAAAACAAAACAAAACACCGTATTCTGAACTACGTATCAGGTGATGTCTTCTCATCGTATATATGAACCATTGGCAGCGCTTCAAATCTAAGTTTCTCTTCTGCAAAACGCTGACATGCAGCACATGTTTGAGAATCATACCTATACAAACAACCGCCAAAAATATATTTTTTTTTTCTCGAAGAAAGGAACTACGCATCGCGGAACGCCCAGCTCCACCCCATATGAAGCGCTACCAATTCAGGCTAGAGGCCATGGCTTCAAAGCTTGCGGCTATCTATATTAAAATTTATAAAACAGGCTTCGGAATTTTTAGTAAAAAAATGGCGGTCGGCAAAGCCAACGAATGCACGAAGATGAGTGTCGTCGGCTACCGAAAGGAGGCTTTATTATTCATGAAAACAATATCAGAGATTGCTTATAACCTTCGGATCAGATAACTGTAAAATTTCTTTTTCTTCTTTCTTTTTTTCTTCTGCGGGCTACGATATCGCGAGCTAAACATACATTCACGATCTTATTGACGTCAGTGCAACACGCTTTCAATCGCTGGTCAAATCGATTATACCAGACTGTCGCTAGTATCCGTCAATGTCTAATGTTATCCAGCCGCCATTCCATTTTGTGCGTCTTACCTTAATATGCTCCTCCATCGATTTCTTTCCGAAGCCCAGATCCTTGAGTACTCGAAGACAGAACCGTCTGTTCTCCACCCAAGCAGGACCGCTGAGGGTCGTCATGCCTGGAATCAGGGTCGCATTAAGGTAAGCGCTAAGGGGGCTGCAGCTCTGGGCCCCAGGCTGTCAGGGGGCCCCGTGCTGATTCCTGGAAATTTGAAAATTGTTAGTTGTTTTCGATTCAAGACAGCTGAGACAGAGAGCAGAAGAAACACTCGGTATAGGGCCTCTGGTGCAATCACCTTCTCGTTCCTTTTTTTTTTTTTTGTTTTAACTAGGAAACTAGGATGCCATAAAATTCCCGACTCTAGACAAGCTGGCGCTTGTAAACTCGTTGTACAAGTGCGCCACAGCAACAAAACGTAACACGGCCTCCCGTGCCCCTTGTTAGATGGGGTCTTTTCTAATTGAAGCTCGATATGCATAAGGACGGTCATGAGCTCTCTTTTATGCTGGGACCCCCTTGGCGTATCCTACGGATAATGGTGGCCGGAAGTTAAGCAAGCGTTCCAAAAGGCAACTCGAGCAACACAGATGGGTCACACATGTTGTTTTAAACTTTTTAGCGAAACTTCAAAAGGAGTTTATTCCAGAACGACAAGTTAAGAACAAACAGAAAGGTGCCCGTTAACCTTCCCGACACAGTCTCCATAAGCACCAACAAACAGGCGTTTCAAGCAGCAGGCCTCTTTAGACGCCCCTCAACACTTTTCGATGGGCACTCACTAAAAGCAAGAGCTCTAGAGTCGATGTCTTGCCTGCAGTGCAACTGGGCACTTATCCTTCCACCAATTGATACGAATACTGCAAAGGGCTCATCAACCTCTGAGGTATGGCTTCTTGTTTTTAACTTTGTGTCAAACCTCAAAATGGCCGCGGAGGTCCAAATTACTGCACCTAAAAGGATTACTACTAAATATGTTCGAAACATTTTCCACATTTAAAAAAGAGAGCGTGTAGATACAAAAACTCGGAAATATCTTCTCAATCTTCATGAAACTTTCTTGTACATGTAAAAATGCTCAAACGACAGTGATCGATATATTAGATTCGAACGCAGTTCCTCCCATGGTTGAAATGTTAAAGTCTGTGTTTGTGAAACGAGGGTTCAGTTATTAGAAGAGCGATTGCGAAATAGCTTGATCACATAAGGACTGCTGCAACCAACAAAATTTCTTTCTTGCCTATGTCTCTTCCTTCACTGTTCACATCGGTAATTAATTAACAGAGAGCTAGTTAGAAGTTAATAATTGGGAACAATTACAAGAACTGCTCTAGATTTCCGTCGCAGTTGTCGAGTCGCGAGGCAGGCCGTTTCGAGGAAGTGAAGTTTTGTTTTCTTGTAATGGTAATTTTGCAGATATCCCCCTTTCGGTTGCTGCATAACTCTATTCATGAGTAACAGTACCACAAGACATGTTAGCGAGAGGGTTACCTGTGCTGCAAGTCGGTACCATAATAAATCTGTGTGAGCTGGCCCGGAAATGTACTCTTCAAATTTAGCCGCAATTCTAGTCAAAGAACTCCATGAACGGAGTCAACATTTTCGACGGAAGGAATTTAGTTTTCTTTGTGAAGCTGCTGGATGTGAACGGAAATACTTAATATTTTTGGCAGTGCTTATTTGATTTCAAGCTTTTGGCTCAATATTCCCATATTGTAATATGTTGGAGCGGTTGATTCTTTGCGAAGCAGTTTCTAATCAACCGTCGCATCTGCCTCACTGCCAGCAAGAAAAACTTGAATTCCATTGAATCTACGGATTTAAAAAAAGGCTCGACAATAATCCTAAGACGAAACATATCTAGATTTCACAATCAGCCAAACCAAAATACGTAGTTTCGTCGTGATCGTTACCTCCCCCAGCACCACCGTCATCATCATCATCACCACCACCTCCGTGGTTATTATTATTAACATCGGTAAGGGCCTCGTAACCGCCTTATTTCAGGTCCCCCAAGTGCTTTTATCCCGTACTGCCTGGAATCAAGCGCTCGTTGAATATCGAAACACTACATACATATAGGTTTTGTTCCTTTTAAATCAGTCTGGATTTTCGTGAAGTTCTTCCTCGTGAAAAGGGTGCTATCAACATTCATTTTTTTTCTGAACACTGAGCAAACTATTTAAAGAACCTGTGCCGAGAGTCAACATTGAGCAGAGATTATAGGGCGCGGAAGTTAGTCAGCTCTTTGCAGGCGTCGTCCGTTCGTTTACACCCCAAACGCACCACGTGATTTTGTAACCCCCCCGGCCGACCTCAAGCAATGACGGCGCGAGCTTTCATGCGTCATCATCGCGCGTCCCCCGCGCGTTCTCTGTTGTTCTTTGATTGGCGTGATCCTCCTTGCGTTCCGATGCGCCGAAGACGCTTTGTTTTGTTTTTTTTTCTTTACAGGAGCGCGGAGCGTGGGGAGTGCCGAGCAGATTGTTATCACTCGACAGCCAACGAACTTGCAGCATTGCGCGATAGGGAAACCGAAGAACGGATCCCGAAGGAAGAATTGTGGACGCAATGAGCCCTGAATTTCTTTTTTTTTTTTATTTGTTAGCGACAACAAAATGAAACATCCTCGCAATACGCTTACCAAATGTTAATTCTTCGTCATATATACATACGCCAGCTGTCAGTGCCGAAATTATTCTCAGAAGTTCTTGAAGTCACTAAGTTTTTAAAACACAGATTTACTTTTGCTTTTACTTTATTTTTGTAAAAAATTAAATTCAGGGGTTTACTGGGTTTAGGAAAGAGCCTAAACTTCGGGGTCTATCAAACGCCAAATGTACTTTTTATGAAATAATGAAAGGGAGTGTCTACGCGCGGGGATGTAGCCACGTCGGGAGGAGATAAGGCTCCATCCACGCACTACGTCACTTCCGGCGTACTACGCCACTTCCTGCGTGGACAGAGGCAGTTCTTCTCCCGTCTTCTTTCCGTCCACGCAGCAGCAATCAACCTACGGTCTTGCCTCCCATTGTTTTTTGTCATGTGCTCGGCGGCCATCGCTCCTTGCGTTCCTGCCGTGCCGGACTGCTGTTTCTGCCTGGTCATCCGCAAGCGGGTTTGACTTTCCCAGAAGCGTTTTTTTTTTCTTGTTTTCTTGGTCAAGGAGTTTGACCCTTAATGTATCAGCATGGTCGCGCTTCTGATATGCATCGAGGTTTGGTTGCCGGGGTTTCGATGGTGAAATACTTGTCCCAGTATTTCCCATCGAATGACCGGGTAGCTGTCGAAGTGCGGGTGTTTAGTGACATTAGGATCGAGGCTTTGTTTTCCAAGGTGTCTGACACCCTGCTCGATTTGGGCACAAACATGCACCAGCGTTTGTGCTAGCGCGTAGGTTGATAAATACCGTCGGCTGGCCGCTCAGATCAATTGGAACGCAGTCCGACGATGCAGATCGGCTTTTATTCCATCCTTCCGAGGCGGAAGAACAGGTTTTCTTTGTTGGAGTGTCAGCGTAGTAAGAGTTCCGAGATCCAGGCGTTGAATGATCGGCACATATACGTGAACTGGCTCCTGCAGGAGTTCTTGCGCAAGGAGGGCTTCGCGTTCATCGATGATCTCGCAGACGAGTGGCATCTGTGCATCGGCTACTGTTTTACTTGTCATGGGATAAACAGTTTCTGGAATCTTTAACCCATTTTTATCGATTGAATGTTCTCAGTATGTTTGTTATTACTGGGACTAATGCATGTTTTTTCTTCTCTCACAATTTTCGTGAGATTGCGAGCGTGCGCGCAAGTCAAGAACGTACGGAGCGGTGGGCTCGCACTTGTCCCCTTCGATGCACATAAGCTCACTCTAAAACGCCTCAAAGCAAGCCAACACCACACACGACGAAGCCTCACCAGCCTCACCGCCTCGCCTCCTTCAGCGATGTACACATGGGCTAAGGCCCTGCGGGCCTTACTTAGCCCATGTGTGCGTGTGCGCGCGGGCACCCGCACGCACCCGCACGCCGCTCACACGTGTGTGTGACTCCTGGACAACATAACTCTAAAGATATCTATTGATACTATTTTTATGACGTATGATATTTGCTATTAGTCTTAGAAAACAGTAAAAAATTTATGTTGTCTAAAAATTTGTAAGGTCACCTGACATATTAACTTTAAAAACAACAATAAAATGTAGCCTCTTTATTTTATATTCTATATTTACTTATAAGAAAGCATATTATGTAGGTAAAAACCAGTTATGTCCTTATATTACAAGTCACGTACGTTACCTTTTGCGTGGATGGAGCCTTATCTCCTCCCGACTTGGCTACGTCCCCCTGCGTGGATGTAGCCTCGGCCAAAATAAAATAATCGAGCCTTTTTTTCAATTTCCTTCCTTTTAATCGTTCTATTTAAGGCAGAATCAGGGAGAAATTTGTTGTCTAGATGAAGAGGCGCGATTCAGAAATTTGCATGAAGTTTCCACGGGAGGAAACGGTATGGGACAGTCGCCGCTGCCCTATCGCAGCAGGTGTTGACGGCATAGAAAAATATTTTCTTTTTTTCAATTTTCTAATGCACGCTTAACTGTCACACTGCATTGCTTGACATCCGGCAGCGCGGTCAGACGTGTGTCATTAATATCTTGGGCCAGCGTAGAATTGTAAAGCCACGGGATTTAGAGGCGCCATATTTTTCAATATCCTGGCGTAAACGGGAATTCTGCGTGACATCCTGCGGCACTGAGGGCCGATATCTCCAAAATACATATATCTTCTCTCTCTGTCCGGAATGTGTTCCACTGTGTTTTAGCCAGCAGGTGTTCATGCGATATCACTCATCTTTCCGGCGCAGGTACAGGGCGCGATACATTTAGCACAAACGTAAATTGGCAGTCTATTTCGAAGTCCTTATACACAGCTGGAAGCTTGTTAAAAAAGGACCGGTGCTGAGTAAACTGCTCTATTTAAACACCGACCTAAAAAGTAAAAAAAAAAAAAAAAAAAAGTGTGCGACAGTTTTTTGTGGTAAACTGGGGAAAAGCACCAATGCTGCTTTTGAGTTAACTGTCTCGCGTTGAGTGGGAGCCGTCTTTCGGGATGCTTCTTTTGTGACTGCCTCAATTCGGGTTTTCGCTAAGTTTGGTTTCCCTGCAATTACGTTTCTGTGCAAATACGTTCTCTGCAATCACGCTTTTTTTCTTTTATATTTCTTGTGTGGTAATCTCGGAGTTCAAATGTGAATCCTTTGTTTAGGACGAAACCAGTGTTGACACGCAACTGTTCTCTTATTTTTAGGTGAAAATAGCTTTCATAACAATTGAGAGAGAGAGAAAAAAAATATCGCTGTTAGTAGAAAACAAGTAATTTCTCGTCGAAAATACAGCATATGTACGCCAGCATGTCCTTTTTCCCACGTTCGTAAGGCTTAAGAGCTGGTGGGCGAAAATAAAATGCCTACAGTAAAGCCTTGTCTGTTGTTGTTGCTGTTGTTGGAGGGGGCGAGAATTAGAAGGACGCATTTTTCCGTGCTTCTTCTTAAATACTGAATTATTGGAACTACATTTAAAATATACGAAATATATTTTTGTTGTTGTTGAATACTAAAGCCGAAGAGCCGTGGTTGCATAACTATAAATTCAAGAGGGCACGATAGAACGTTTTTGAAAACCCCGGGGCCGGTTTGCTCATCTTGCGGCTGCGGACGCGGCCGCGGCCAGGAGGGATTTTGACGTCACGTGACCAGCTCCATGGGGACAAGGAAGTACCTAGCGTCCCTGCCTAATGGCGGAGAGATCCGCATCGCTTCAAGCACAAAAGCCTAATTTCGCTCGCAGAAACTGATTGGAGGGACTTTCAACTGGAATCTAATTGACCGCCCCTTTATACTGTAGGAGCGGCAGGTAAAGTTACGGCCAGGGAGGGCAAATAGGAGCCAAAATAAAGAAAAAAACACACGAGATAAAAGCGGTAGCGGTATTTTTATATACCTCCGCCGGCGCCGCGCCTCGCGCCTTCTGTTGTGGTCGAGAGGTTAAAGCGCCGGTACTTGGCGCCACGGCGTGAAAGTTCCGGGTTCAAATCGCGCTAAGGACTTCTTTTTTTTTTTTTTTTTTTGTATTTTGCGCGTGTCTTACTTTTGAACTGTGATCCTCTTTTGGAAATCATCCACTTGCACTACTGCGCCTTATACGCTTTTACTGTTAGTCCAATCGAAACACCGGGAAGAAGAAAAAAAAAGATCACGCAAGTTAACGCGCTAATGCAATCATTTCGTAATGTTCATTAAAAGGAAACCAAGCTAACAGCATCAGTATGGCTTTCACAAGCGGAGCCGAAACAAGCATCCTTTCCCCAGCGTTTACATTTTTATCTGTTTTCAAATAACGCTCTTGCTACGATTCCTTTCAATAACAAGAGACGCCTATTTAGGACTAATAAAAAATGCAGTTATAGCAATTAAAAAAAATAATAAAACAAGCAAAAAAATAAAAAAAAGACTAGCAGCTGTGGATACATTGATTGAGCGAAATCCTACAGGCAAGGCAGCAGGTCAAACGTCTGAGAAAGTAGTAAAACTGAATTAAAAGAGATCATACTTTTACTTGCATGGAATGAGATAAAAAGTACATTTATACTCTTTACATTTTGTTGTGGCAATCGTTTTGTAATATTAACACATTACTTGTTGAATTTTAGTAGAATAGCAGACGATCACGACCAAATGCAAAAATGAATCAGGCATCGACCTTCGCAAACCCTCTCTCTCATGCTGTCATGCATGTGGCATGCACGAGGCAGCGGATTCAGCGCGCGCCGTCGCCGACGGGTTATCGGGCTTTGTGATTATTATATTTTTGTTACCCGTGGTGTGCGCTGATTGGTGCGACGAGAAAAAGACGAAGTGACGACGAACGGACTGAGGCTGGAGACGGTGCACGAGGAGAAAAAAGGAACGCGGTGGGCTGGAGCTGGTGCAAGCACGACTTCGAACCGGAATAAAACGCTTTCCCCCCAAAAGGCTGGCTCCCTGCCTTCCCGGGTCCCACGGCGCCCAAACCACAAGCCGTGACTCATGCAAACACCTAAACTGACTTTGGATCAACAAATGGAATTAAGTATAATTAATTCCCTTTCTTGATCCAAAGTCATTTTAGGTGTTTGCATTAGAGAGAGGGTTTGCGATGGTCGATGCCTGATTCTTTTTTGCATTTGGTCGTGATCGTCTGCTAGCCTAACTAAAATTCAACAAGTAATGTGTTAATATTACAAAACGATTGCCACAACAGAATGTAAAGAGTATAAATATACTTTTTATCACATTCCATGCAAGTAAAAGTATGATCTCTTTTAGTTCAGTTTTACTACTTTCTCAGACGTTTGACCTGCTGCCTTGCCTGTAGGATTTCGCTCAATCAATGATCCACAGCTGCTAGTCTTTTTTTTTTGCTTGTTTTTTTTATTTTTTTTAATTGCTACAACTGCAGTTTTTATTAGTCCTAAATAGGCGTCTCTTGTTATTGAAAGGAATCGTAGCAAGAGCGTTATTTGAAAACAGATAAAATTGTAAACGCTGGGGAAAGGATGCTTGTTTCGGCTCCGCTTGTGTGAAAGCCATACTGATGCTGTTAGCTTGGTTTCCTTTTAATGAACATTACGAAATGATTGCATTAGCGCGTTAACTTGCGTTGATCTTTTTTTTCTTCTTCCCGGTGTTTCGATTGAACAGGTGGGACTAACAGTAAAAGCGTCTAAGGCGCAGTAGTGCAAGTGGATGATTTCCAAAAAAGGATCACAGTTCAAAAGTAAGACACGCGCAAAATACAAAAAAAAAAATAAGTTTCTAGCGCGATTTGAACCCGGAACTTTCACGCCGCGACGACAAGTACCGGCGCTTTAACCTCTCGACCACAACAGAAAGCGCGAGGCGCGGCGCCGGCGGAGGTGTATAAAAATACTGCTACCGCTTTTATCTCGTGTGGTTTTTTCTTTATTTTGGCTCCTATTTGCCCTCCCTGGCCGTAACTTTACCTGCCTCTCCTACAGTATAAAGGGGCGGTCAATTAGATTCCAGTTGAAAGTCCCTCCAATCAGTTTCTGCGAGCGAAATTAGGCTTTTGTGCTTGAAGCGATGCGGATCTCTCCGCCATTAGGCAGGGACGCTAGGTACTTCCTTGTCCCCATGGAGCTGGTCACGTGACGTAAAAATCCCTCGTGGCCGCGGCCGCGTCCGCAGCCGCAAGATGAGCAAACCGGCCCAGGGAGCAAAATTGGCGCCGGCGGTCACCGTTTCTTGGACACAAATCGTAGGATTTGATCCGAGTCCACTTCGAACGAGTGTCTATCACGTGACCAGAGTACGTGCCCAAGTAATGGCGAACCCGGATAGTCGGCCCAGCAGCTAGTAAATGGCGCGCACTTTCGGAAAGGGCGTTTTGCATAAACGAGAACGTAGGGCACTGCTGACGTACCCATAGTCACTCCCTCGAAAATGGACCGCTGGGAACGGATCAAGGTCGCTTCCATAGAAAGGTATTTCTTTATCGAGGCGAAGTCGTTCAGCACGACCACGTTAACTTTGCCAATGCAGAACCTGTAAGTTGGAGAATGTCGTATAGTTAGGGCTGGGTAATTGATCGATTAACAAACTGGTTAATCGAATAATGCTTTAATCACAATTAAATGTTTTTTTTCTTTTGCCGGTTGATAGGTTAACTTTCTACGAACCAAAATAAAGTAAAAAGTGAATGCTTTTACAACGCAGACGTGGACAAGTACAGCTGTTTGAAGGACATGTTCTTGGTAAATTGTTCACCCTAAGTAAACTGCGGGGCGAGCTTTGTAACTCCATACAAGTGCAGAAGGTTGCACGTGTCCCGACCACTTCACAGTTAGTGCGAGTATCCGTTTAGCGCAGCAGAGATTATTGTGAACAATCCAAGGAGGTGGCCGCTCGCCGGAGAATACCAACCGAACCTCTTTGCCTCGTGCAACTGAAGTAATAATCTTTGAGTGTGAGTGTCTTTGAATTGTTCTCAACTACACATCGAGGCCGATTCATAATCAAAATTGTATATTGCCGCCGCGTGCATGATCGAGAAGATAGTTATTCTGTTCATCTAGAAGATTGGTATAGTCTTACCCCGAGCGTAAACAATAAGGAGGCCAGAATGACCTTGCCTAGTCAGTCTCGCCCAAGCTCTTCTCTGAACATTCTTGGTGGAATACTCGAGATGACGAGCATAGTCGATAAACAGCCGAGCGCCGTATCGCCGATTCATTAACCGATTCTCTCGCGATAGCCAGCTGTTACGCCGACGCGCCGTCGCTAGCTGCTGCCACCGCCGACGCTCGCTAGTGCTTTCTTGACGTGTGTCTGTTTTTCATTACTGGCAAAAGTTCGCCCCCATTAAATCTTTAGTTCATTCCGTTTTCTCCTGCCTCATTGTCTGTCATTTGTGGCTATATTGCGCCTATTATCACATATTCAGCAGACGCAAAACAATGTAATTTTGAGCTTTTTAAAAAAAAAACATATGCATGGAAATGAACGAAACCAATTACTTAATTAATTCATTAAGGATGGCGATTAATTAAGTTAATATTTTAAATCGATGTCCAGCCCTATTTTATGGCTAATATTGAACATAAGTGTAATCCTTATGTCTCAACACTGAGTGTATTGATGCTCTAATCTTATTACCAAACTTATCGCAAGGAAAATCGCAAATTACCCTACGCGGGATAACAAATATTTAGGATTAATGTGGCCTTCAATATAAGCTAACTGCCTTTCAACATACTAATTCGCTCACCTGAAAATGGGTCCGTACTTCTGGGCCCACTCGGTGCATTTCCGGTAGTGGAAGTCGTAGCTGCTCACCGTCACGTTCCCCAATAGTGGAAGGCCTCGGGGTCCCGGAGGCAGCTTCACCTTGCTGGGTCTGCCGCCTTCGTGTTGGTACCAGAAAAGTAGCAGGAAGGACGCCAGGGCCGTGACTCCAGTCGCGTACAGCAGTGCCGTATATTCCGCAGTCTTCAAAGAGAACCGAGGCAGAGAGGAGAGATTTGAAAATATTCTAAAAGTAGAAATTTCCGGCTGACCCCAATACCACCTATACTCCGTTTCACCTTACGTCCAGGCGCAACGGATGCTACGAGCCAGCGGAGCCAATCCAAGGCCGTGGGAGCGTCACGTGACCTTGGAGGGTGGCACAGCGACGCGCCGAAAGCGTATCATCGACTACGTTCACAGAGCGGGATTGGTTAGGATAGCGTTGAGCGTCCGCTTCGTGTGGACGTAAGGTGAAACGGAGTATTGTAGAGAAGACCTGCGCATGATATTATCGTTGGAAGATCCTCGAGCCGTTCCAAGCGGCAGACAAGCTGAAGCTCGACGAGAATCGACGCAAGGAGGCAGACGCGTCGTTCTTGGTGTCGCCGTGGCTTTAATGCAACATTTTCCAAATGCCCAACCAAAACGTTTAGGCTTACTAAAAAAAAAAAAAAACGTAATGCACAGATTTATGTCAGTACAAAACATTCCCCGTGCCCATCCAAGTCCCACTGACATTGTTTTGGTATTCATATGATTGCGGTTGCGGGGAAAGAACTGGGCTACGCGATCACATTCAGGCAAACATGTCCGTACGGTTCATCTGTTTCGGCTGCCGTCGTTCTTCGCCGAATGGTTAGTACCAGATATGATACTGTTTTTGTGGTACTTCTTGTGATACTGTTTTTTATACGTTATAGCTAGAACGCTCGTTTTGACGAAAACCCGGTGGTGTCTTCCGCTTGTCAGGGCCGAGGAGAAGGAGAAAAGGAAGGAGAGAGGGTGACGCGTTAGACGCTCCCATTGGTCCGAAGCGCTGACGTCAGCACGCGTCAACCTCTCCCTTTCTCCCCGGCGCTGACAAACTCACAGACACCGCCGGGTTTCAGTAAAAACGAGCATTTTCGTTTTTGTCAAAGGCACGCGTACAGCTGGCGCGGAGCCGGAGAGGAGGAGGCACCGCGAAACACCTCCTAGATGACAAAGCCGTAGTGCTGAATGAGAGAGCGTCAGCGGAGAAAACCAACGCTGGACACAGATTCGAGACGAGTGCTGCGTCAGCGCTCGGCCTCGAGTCAAGTTTGTGGCAAGCGTTGACGCAATCATCGTGTCCAATCTGTACCCAGCGTTGGCCTTCTCTTATAGCGCTATCTCATTCTGCACATAAATTGCACATCTACAGCGAGGGACTCGTCGCAACTTTATATGGCTGACCAACTACACGCTGTATAAATATCCCCATAACCCAATTTGCTTTTTCATTCAGCACTACGGCCTTGTTATCTTGGTGTTGCGCGGTGGAATATGGGTGTGCTCAGTTGCCGCTCTGCCGTCGCAGGGGGTTCTTCGCCCTGGGTCTCCGTTGCAGTGATGCGTGGGCTGGGATGTGTGTGTGTAGTTAAACCGAGGGATGCGGTTCCCTTCGCGGGTGATATGGATGCGGTTCCTTCGACGGGTGGATATGGATGCGGTTCCTTCCACGAGTGGTATGGATGTGTTGTTTTTTCCACGGGTGATATCGATGGCCGTATCTAAGTTCGTCGACGTACTCTGCAGGCAGGGTACGAAAAAGGGGGAAAACATTACAGCAAGATCAATTGGTGGATTCTTAGGGAAGCATTGAGCATGACACTAGGGTAACGCCGCACACATCCCTTTTTGGCAAACGCTAGCACTGACCCCGTAACGAGGCCAAAAAGAGGCAGCGAAATAGAGGAAGCAGAAGAGAAAGCCAAAGAAATAGTGAAGCGCGGGAGGCGAGTGTGGAAGACGACGAGGCGTAGGGCTAGTGAGAAGCGGCCGGCCAAGGAGTCTATGAGCTGGCGCCGAACAGAGCGTGCTGCGCGAGGCCGGGGCCGGACAGGAACGATGCAGCCGGTCTGGCCGTGGTATGGCCCACGGCCATACCAGGAAAGGTCCACCAGCGAGGTTCGGACCAGAAACGGTAGGTACGGCGGGCCCTGGCCATACCGGCCTTGGCCAAGACGATCCCGCAGTGGTTCCGCAGCGGGACTCGGGTTATGATAGCCCGGAACAGCTAGCCGCAGAGCTGGCGTGGGAAGGACGATCCGCGGGCCTGGACATGGAGTTCGACTGCGAGCTTTGAACGACGGGCGCCAACCAAGGTTGGTGAACCCGGACTGGAGGATCTCGAGGACGGGCAACCGGGAAGTACAGTAATGTACTTCCCGGTTGCCCGTCCGCTCTTCGAATGTGCAAAGACGGTTCCCTAAAACTCCCTAGTACTCGTGTACGGAAAACGTTTCCCTCGGGCGTACTACAGTGTGCGGCCGTAAAACTTTCGCATATGGCACTCCTAGCAAAAATAGAATTTCAAACGTACACACCTCAAATTGGGAACACGAACGTCTTTTATTCCAAAGCCTTTTGCCTATTTTCTTCAGATGTCAACTTGGGAGTACCGAATTATTAGAAATATAACAAAAATGGCAGACGTGCATTTCCTATGGGCTGTACCCGCCCGTTCGCCGTCTGCAATCTGATTCGCGACGCCGCTCCCAGGTGGCGCACTGAACTCAAAAACGCGGGAAGCGCCGCACGAAAGGTTCGCGTCGGGCGAGATAATCGCGATCAAAAGTGATTTTAACGAAATATATGAACGATTGTTGAAATTACCCGTTTCAAGTCAAGTTTTGACAGATCGTCATGCAAGCAAGAAGACACCATGATGTGACGACCTCATTTATTAAGAGCCTGGAATGGCAAGTGCTGCTTCTATCATTGCAGACAAGTTAGTTATCATTTCATTCTGACCTTTGCAAGGCCGCTGTAACTCATAAAGTAATAGTTTTTTTCATACAGCTTGGGTATTATTAACACACATGTCGCAAAACATATTTAAAAAAAAGAAAAGAAATCACATAAATTGGACCAATTATTACGGCGCTAGAGTCATTTCGGCGGGCCGGTGATAAAATGGCTTGTATATGAGAGAGATAGTCGTCGTTTTGCTAGTTTCCCAATAGTACCTCTATCAGCAGCCTCTACTTTGCTCTCCGCGTGCCGCAAGCAGCACGAGAGACAAAAGTAAGAGGGAAACTAATAGTTTAAATTTCGTCAGGAAGTGGAAGTTGTGCGTTCATTCAATTGTTTATTCTCGAAAAATACATCTTCTGACACGCCTCTTCTGTCCCGGCGATTTGAAATAATGTTTATGCTGCAGCGGCCCTTTAAGCGACTAGAGTTCGGCCGATTCCATGTGCCCGCCGTTCACAGACACAAAGCCGAAGTCGAGCTTCGTACGCCAGGAAAACCCTTTCGCGCACCCCATCGTCGATCTCGAAGAACATGCCCTCAATTTTTTCTTTCAGCTTTTCCATGCTGGGAATCCTCTTTTTGTAGACAAGTCCTGTAATAAATCCCCATACAAAAAAGTCGTACATATTTTAGTCGGGGGATCGTGCAGGCCAGTCCATATAATCTGAACCCCGACCCATCCACCGCCGAGAAAACGTGTTATTGAGCCATACCTTCACACTCTGTGCGCAATGGGGAGCCGCCCCATGCTGCATGAATATACAGTTTTCTTTTGTGATGTGCTACCTTTCAAGCTCAGGGAGCATTTCCGTTTCCAGCATGTCCGAAGTAGACATCTGCGTTAAAAGTGCCATTGGAAAAAAAGTTGCCCACTATGCCTTCACGTCAAATCCCAATACACACTGTCACCTTCAATCAATGGAGATGCCATTCATTCACGGCATGAGGGTTATCGCGAGCCCATATCCTGCTGTTCTGGCGGTTCATACGTCCATCAAGGTGAAAGTTTGCTTCATCACTAAATAAAAGAAATTGCAGGTACCCCGGGTTGCTCTTAATTAGCAACAACACCGCCTTGCCAAATTCTAAACGTCGTACGCTTCGACAGCTTGTATCTTGTACGAGCGCAAATTATTTTTCCGAAGAATCCGTCGTACGCTTTTTTCCGAAATTCCAAACCACCTGGCTGCTCGTCTTGTTAACAATTGTGGGTAACTCTTGAAAACAGCAAGCACCGCTTCAATGAGCTCCTCATTTTTCAGCAGGCTCTCACGTTTACTGACTGGATTCTTCTTTTTAAAGTCTTCTCCGCTCGCAAAACGATCCTCCCAAGTCAAAATTTTCGGGCGTGAAGGCGGGTGTTTATGAAATGCAGTGCGAAATCTTCGTTGTGCTGTGGCCCACCAAGTTCCGCTCCACCTACCACTTCACTGCCTGGACACACTCATTGGCCGAGTATTGCGGTCTCGCAGGGCGGCGCGAAACATATTTCGATAATAACTGCAGCAGATAGTGCAACAAAAACAATAAATAGGAGCAATCAAGGTGCCTCAGCAGCGGCACTCTTGATTCTAAAGTTGAGCTTTCACAGGGACCGGACCGGTCAACAGATAAGCAGACGGCAAAGGAACTTACACACGTTCGTCTGCATTAGAATATATTTTTATTAAACGAGGGCGTCCGCCAGCTTCTAAATTTCAAGTAAAATGGCATAATCGTTCATATATTTTGTTAAAATCACTTTTTATCGCGATTATCTTGCCCGGCGCCGGCCTTTCGTACGGCGTTTCCCGCGTATTTCCGTTCAGTGCGCCAAATGGCAGTGGCCTCGCAAACCAGATGGCAGACGGCGAACGGGCGGGTATAGGGCATAGGAAATGCACGTCTGTCATTTTTGTTATCTTTCTAATAATTCGCTACTCCCGAGTTGACGTCGGAAAAAGATAGGCAAAAAACATTGGAATAAACGACGTTCGCGTGCCCAATTTCAGGTAAATACATTTGAAATTCTCTTTTTGCTAGGCGTGCCAAATGTGAAAGTTTTTACGGCCGCACCCTGTACATTAAAACTCACCGTGGAACTGTAGCTCAGGAAACCTAGCTGTTCTTCCATCGTTGTCGTGGTGCACCGGTTCACTACGACACGCGCACTGAGTTAGCGAACGTTCAGCTGTAGCTCCGTGGTGGCAGGATGTATCCCTCTC